GCGACCAACATGAATTTGACCCAACTCCGGGAGGCAGTGGAAGACAGGAGGGCCTGGCGTGCTCTGGTCCATGGGGTCACGAAGAGTCAGACACAACTAAACGGCTAAACAACAACAACTGAACATTCACTCTGTCTCTAATAGCTATCAACTAGGGTTCCCCCTCCAATTACATTTATTTATCATATCCTACCTTTCCTCCAAAGAGCTCAAGACACATGGTCCTTCATCCACTTTTATACCCTTACAACATCCCTGTGAGGCAGAACAGGCTGAGATAGTAATGTATCCAAAGACATCCAATAATTTTCATGGCTGAGTATCAGTATGACTTTGGGTTTTTCATAGTCGAATACTTTGAACCACTTGCTCCCTTCCCCAGCTGTTTCTGGGAAACCAACAAGTAGGGTTAGAAAGGAGTGGTGTTTCCACATTGTTTGTCCCTCAGCAACTAGTATTCAGAGGTACAGTGGACCCTCTACTTACGGAATTAATCCGTATTGGAATGGTGGCTGCAGGTCGAAAAGTCTGTAGGTCGAGTCTCCAGTGACCTACAATGCATTGAAAACCAATTAATCCCGTAACCAGCCGTTTTTGTTCCATTTTTGTTCCATTTTGGTTTTTTACCTGGTCTGTAATAGTCGAATACTTTGAACCACTTGCTCCCTTCCCCAACTGTTTCTGGGAAACCAACAAGTAGGGTTAGAAAGGAGTGGTGTTTCCACTCAGCAACTAGTATTCAGAGGTATATGACTTCTAAACAGGAGTACATTTTGCAGCCAGAGAAGTCTGTAACTCGAAAAGTCTGTAAATCGAGCCGTCTGTAAGTCGAGGGTCCACTGTATATGACTTCTAAACAGGGAAGTTCCCTTTGTGGCTAATATTTCTCATGACTAACTATAATTATAGATTTCAGAATTCAAACTAATTCATTTTTTCAGTGTATATCTTTCTCTTCATATATTTAAAAAGCACTTTTTTTATCCTGTAAGTGACACTATAGAATTATTCTAACAGCAGCTCCTTTGTTCTCAAAAGACAACAACAGCAATTGCATGCCATCAAATTGATTCTGAGTTATGGTGTCCTTTTCCAGGGTTTTCTAGATGGAGAAACTGAACTGTTACAGTATTTCTAACAAACAAGAACAGAGGAGCCTACTTCACAAGCTCATACTTGCATAGATAGGGACCATTCTTTCCTTATTATACTTTTGTGTCCAGATTCATGTAAATGAAATTAATATGTTCATTACGTGATTTAACTGTGAATTGTTAATATTTATCTTGGGATTTGTCTGTTCTATGAATGGCTTTGAGCACAAGCTGTTATGGAAAAACATAGTACAGAAATAGATGACATGTGACTTAATATAATTAAAGTAATATTAAGGGTCCGTTCTGAGAACCTTCATTTGAATAAACTATTGCTTCTCTCAGGGCTTACCACTGTGTCAGACCTGGGTCCAGTTTTCTGCTCCCTAAGCTACATGGACACCAAAACCTGAAAATAACAAAGATGGGAAATACCAGAAATTTGCTTCTGGTCTTAAAGAATTGTATTTAAAGTGGTATATGGTGCAGGAGGATTTTGCAACCTATTTAAAAAATTCACCACAGCTCCTAAATTCTTCCAGAAAAAGTAACATATTATTTTTCTTTGGGAGGATAAGACAACAGCCTGAATACATAGTGGTTTGCATGTGCCTGGTTCTGAGTCGGAGCTAGTGTCACTGTAGATGCTGGTATCTTACTGAAAGAAAAAGGAAGGAAGGAAGGAAGGAAGGAAGGAAGGTTTGCCACCCTCTGGTTTACCAAGCTGCATATACTTAAACATTTCAGCTGCCTGTGAGAGCTAGAATACAAAACTGTGGTGGGATCTCTGCTCACACACTTAGTTCAGACTCCTCTAGAAACAGGTTTTACAAGACAAGACAGAAGCACTGAATCAGGTGCATTTTAAAAGGCAGGAAAAAGGAAGGGTGAGGAGCAAATGAATACTTTACTCAATAGAGTTAGACCATGGTTTTTCCAACTAGAAATTGTACCTCCTGTGCTTCCTGTAAGCATAAGCCCAGCCATAATTTCCCGCATTGCAAAGGGTTGGACAAGATGATCCCTAGAATTACCTTCCACTCTACAGCTCTATGATCCTATGTCTCATGGGTGATATTCCTTCAGTATTAGGAAGCTCCCTCATTTTAATTAACCTAACCAACCAAATAAACAAAAACACCCCATTATGGCCTCACTGGTAAACGTACCTTCCTCCTGCTGTTCTATAAAATCTTTTGAAATTTTCAAAAATCTTTCAAAATTGAGTGTACAGCAGCTAGCAATCTAGCATCCACAATCATAATCTTAACGGCAAAAGGTTGGAGTCTCACAGGGGTATAACCAACTTTATCTTGATGTTGTTTTCTCCATGAACAACTGAAAATATATTCACAGAGAGGGAATTCATACAACCACTGGTTTATTTTTTGTAATTCTTTTTAAAAGGATGGCAGCGTAGCACTGTGAGCGTTTAGATCTCAGGCCACTGCACTACACCTTCTTAAAAACAGTCAGATATTCTATGGCAAGAAAAAAGGAGGAAGTAAAACTGGGAAAACATGGGAGGATTACAAATGAATGGTGATGCTTGTGTGGATTCCTACCCTGAATTCTATTTGACGGGGGTGGGGGGTGGGAAAGAACCATAGCAATTCCACAGCATATACTACATCTAGAAGCCAAACTTGGGCAGACCCAAGTTCAGCTTTTTACTAGGAATGCAACTACACTACACGCTTGTAGCACTTTGCACTTTAACTGTAATTGCTCCATCCATGGAATCTCAGAGAGTCAGAGACAGAGAGAGAGATCGGATCCCTAGGGGAAGAGAAAAGGGTGAATAGAGAGGAGACACTTAATCTGAATCTACTCAGAAGGAAGTTCTTCTGAATTCAGTGGGACTTATTTCCAGATATATATATGATACTGTAGCTTAAACTTCCCAATGATTTATTCCATTGGAAACTAGGGCAAGTTGTGTGCTGTTAAACCTCTGTTTCTAAAAGTCAAGAAATTCAGTCTTTCAAAAAAAAATCTGGTTTATGAATGTTGTCAGATCTTTCCTTGCTTAGTGTCTGCAAAGGAGCCGAAGAGGGGATCGTGCAGACCAACCTGACTGCTGACATTGGTGTCATCAACATTCATGCTCGCCTTTGCTATGTAAAGCTATGGTGCGGATATTCTGATCCTACAGGGGAGGATCCCTGGGGCACTCTACACATATATCCAGAAGCAGACTATAATTCCATTAGTATATACTAATGTACCAAGTAATCAAGCATACAATCCTAGACGCAATTCCACAGGCTATAGCAGAAAGGGAAGGCAGAAGTGAAAGACAGTCTCTAAATCAGTGAAAGAAAGCTCTTATGACACTTTTCATGAGTCCAAATTCCAAACCTGTTGGGAAAGATGTGGATGAATTCGGAAGAAACATGTACTCTGTACTGGAGGCAAATGGCACAGAAGAAACAACAAACCACAACAGCTGCTGTTAGAATGACAACAACACATACTTTCTTTTTGAGATACAATTATGACAATGCATGAACAATGATTTCAGAAACATTTCTAAGACCAGAGAGAAAATAGTGGTCAAGCTTTTATACTGAACATTGTACACCAATGAAAGAGACAAAATGCAAACATTATGCTGACTATCATGATACAGGTGGGTTTTTTTAAAGTGCTCTTCTCTGAAAAACCTCTGGCTCAGTGTCCTCCTGTTCCATAAATATCATTCCTGTCATGTGACCCTATGGAACAACCACGATTTTGAGATCCATGGGTAGGTTCCTTTGTTCAGAGCAACCTGATGAGTAAACCCAGGAATGTACACACCCACTTGCTTGCTCCCTCTGCTAGCCATGCAGCACTGGAAGCCCCTGTCCTCCTGATGCCAGTCAATGCTGCCAGGCACAGTGGAAAGATCTGAAGTAAAACATACATCCCGAGCGATATTTGTACAGCACACACACAGCCCCTTAAATAAATCACATTGTGTGGCCAAACTCTACCACACGTGACCAGCCTGGTTCCTGGACTTTACTCCCAGCCCTCCCTTCCAAGCCTCTTCCACCCCACCACATGCAACTCTTCCCTCAGACGTTTGTGGTGACACTGACACAACACCAACAATATAGCAGCAGTGAGTGTGCTGTGCACTGAGGTTACAAAGCCACCACCGCCACCCCACCCTGCCATCTTCTTGCAAGTGATTTCTGGTCACACATCACAAATGGACACCACACACAGCAAATGAATCCACCAAAGAGCTCATTAGACACACTTCAAAGGGGAACAAGGGTGAGAGGGGAAAGCACAACAGATGATAAAAAGAGCTTAGAGTTAGAGCAGGGCTGTATTTAGAGTCAAATCCTGAGAGGGACAAAGTTTTAGTCCAGACAGCTCTTAGACATTTTTATCCAGCAGAACAGACCAATGTCCTGGGGGGGTGGGCAGGAAGGAGTGAGTACTATCTGAGGAAAACAAAATAAAAAGTAATATACTTTTCTTCTTCTGCAAATTTGGGGCCACCCAGAACTTTGAAAAGTTACTTTTTGGACTCATATCAAACCAAACCCAAAACAAAAGGCAAAAACGTGGTGGCTCCTTAAAGACTAACCAGTGTATTTTAATGTAAATTAACATATTTAAGTTTTGGACTTTAATTGCCAAATCCCTTGTGAGCGTTATATTTCCCCCTGCCCCCAAAATTACTTGTTCTATATCCTGGACACACACACACACACCAGTGTTTTGATGGTGCCATTTTGGAAAAGACTCTAAATAGCATTATCGTTCTGCTCCCACAATGTGAGACGAAGCCCCACCTCTTTGCTCTGGTGTCCATGCAATAGAACAGCAAGGGAACTGGTGTCCATGCAGGAGATGTAAGGCAAGGGAAAGCAGGGGTAAAGGAGGAAAAGCAGCAACAGAACAAACCGGAAAAGGAGAAGGATCGTTGTCGGTGAAGAGGAGGAGGGGGGCTTTTTATGCTCTTCCGGATGTCCCGGAGTTTGGCGTTGTATTCTGACAGGGGGAGACGGAGGCAGGGTGGGTAGGAGTAGAGGAGCAGCAGGAGAAGGTCAACCAAGGATGAAACAAAGTCCATCACGGAGGGTGAGAGAGAACAGTCAGAGACAGAATAAACATCACAAGGGACAAAGGAGAAAAGAGGGAAAACACAAGAAAAAAAAATATTAGTTGGAATTGATTTAGATCAAAGAGTGTCTTCTCTAATTTGCAGATTGAAAACTGAGGGCCGGAGACAGTACAGGGCAAAAATTTGGTTCATATGAGTATCTAATCTATGAGAGGGGAACCACACCACTTACTGGTGTGAAAAACCATCTAAGCAGGCTTTTCTTTCTTTCACTCTACCCCCATCAACTAATCTAATCCCTCAGATTAGATATGAGTATCTAATTCTTCTTGAATTCAAAGGAAGTCAGACATTTTGAACCTCTAACTACCAGAAGAATGTGATCAAGGGAACCAAAACCCTGAGGACAAGGTTTGGAGTCAGAGGTGGCCATCACTGGGTGACTGCTAAAGCCACCCACTGATCTGTGGAGTTTCTTGCCCCTGTTCTTCCTCCATGCTATTGGTGGGCATGGGGAAGAAAAAGCAACCTGCGTATGCCTTGTCTTCCCTTGCTGGGAAGTGCTGCAGTCTGGGCTTAGAGAAGCAGGGCAAGTAAATGGGCTGCTGTACCAGTGGCAAGCAAGGTCTACAGAAGTGTTCTTGTTCAAGGAGCTGACCCTGTTGTTGTACAGAGACAAATACAAACTTGGTCCTATGGAAAGATGGTACTGCAACCATCCATATCTGTAACATTTTCAGAAGTGTAACTGGCATAGTGAAATCTATACTACATTAAAGAGGCAGGAATTTTCTTGAATTTGTTCTGAACCAAAGTCTCATGTTGACTCTCTTTCTCGCCATTGTCCTGTCTGTTCTTGCACTCCTGGAGCGAACTTTTTAATTTTCTTTTTCTAATGAATATATGCCATTGTAACTATGCACCCATTTTTCATAACCACTCATACTTATAGCTGACTAATATGCAGCCATTTTTTAAAGTACCTTTCTGTTCCTGCATAAATCATCATTACAGGATGCTTTTTGGGTGATTATCTGTCAGTTGTGCTTATTATAGAGGAATATACACTAACATGCGACAATATACCAGGACAGGTTTATGTGGACAACAATGTACTGTATAATACAGTTACCATCCCACAGTTCTTTCAGAGAAAAGTTCATGATCAAAATGTTCTGTGATGCTGGTGATTTTTTTTAAGTGAGAAATTCCTCTCTCTGCATTAAGTCACACTTTTGACTTTTTGAACAGTGGATAAAGAGATTCTTGTTGCTGCCTTGTTTATATTTCAAATACAACAGTTTTAATACAAAGAATTTCTTTTCAAAATATCCCCACCAATAATTTCAACAATTTTTTTTCTACACAGGACTGAGATCTACAACGACTACTTACCTGGGAAGAAATCCCACTAAACTCAAAAGGACTCATGTCATCCATAGAAATGTCATGTACGTCAGTGACATGTCTTATGTACACTATTTGTTTTTACAGAGCATCTTGGGGCTTTTATCCCCAAGGAACAGCAATTTTTGAAACTGCACCCTCCCTGATTAATAAGGCTTCCTACTCCTACTTTTAAAGACTCAATTCAAAACCAACATATGGGTGTAATCACACAGGGAATTAGATTGCAATTCGGACTGCTTCTGAAGCGGCCTGGGGCGATATATTTCCTGATTATCACATGATGCACGGGGGAGGGGTGGGGGGAGTGTTCCAGCTCAACCTTGATCCGTCCCTTTTTGGTCCAGCTGGAGGGCGTCTACTTTCAAGGCTAGGCTGGAGTGATTCCCCAGCTGATAGAAGGATTACTTCAAGGGGGGGTCACTCCTTTTAAAGTGACCCTATCCAGTACAATTGGGCACATGCCTTTCCAGCCATCTGATTGCGCCCATACTCTACTTAATGATCTTAATCAACTATGAACAGAGAGTGGCATTCAGTTTTTTTCAGATGGAGCCAAAGGATGTACTTTTAGCTCACAGTCAGGAACATGACAAGAGCCTTGCTCTTGCACTGGAATTCGCTCTAAGAGGGGGCAACCATATACATATGGTAGCATCTCTGACTCAGCTGGATCAAGGCTCCCACTTAAATGCCCAGGGCCCTGATGCCAGGCAGGATTTGCAATAAGTGAAGATGTGCATGTCTGCGCAGTTAGTTAGCTCTTTTGGGAAGTGAATCTTGCCCAAGCTTTTGCCTTAATCATTATACCACTGCTCCCCACCCTGCTGCAAAGGAAATCTGAGTTCTCATGACAGCAAGAACCAGAGAGGATGATGATCTGTGAAATTCCACACATACTCGCCTTGGAACAAACAGGCAATTTATAGTAGCCTGCATTGTAAATAACATGTTTGGCTTCTATTCCCTTCCCGCCTGTTCTGGACAGATCCCATCCCTCTGACTCTCATTTTCATCCTTCTCCAGCACCTGCCAGATCTCTTGCTTCACTCTTTGCTCTGTGATCACAGGGCACCTAATACTAACTTTGATGCTTGGGATAGCCAATTTCTGCATTCACGAAGGGGACAAGTTCTTCCCCCCCCTCAGAATTTCAGAACAAACAACATCCCTGAGATTAATAGCCCACATACAATCTCAGAAAGAAGGTTCTCATAACACTCACAAAGCTTATGATACCTATGCTATGGGTAGGAAATTGTGCACAAGCTTTTTCCTCTGGTTCTGATATGTTACTCCTTCACAAGTAGAAGTGTATGCCAAAAATCAGAAACAACGCTCAGCAGATTGCTGCATGCAGCACAATAATGGCTGATACTGCCATATTCTGTATCTCTGTTTTGACTTTATTTATCTTGCAGTCCTGTGCAGAGTTAATTTGCTATATTATGTTATGTAGCTCTTCCTTGTCGTGATATGTGGAATTTTGGGAAATGACCAATTTAGTAACCTGTATGGACTTGAGTGTGGTGTAGTGGGTAGAATGATGAACTACGACTCTGGAGACCAAGGTTCAAATCCCCACTGACCCATGGAAACTAACTGAGGGAGAGCAACTGGTGAAACCACTCCTTAAATATCTCACTTACCTTGAAAGCCTTATTAGGGTTGCTACCAGTCAGTTCCAACTTGGTGGCACAGAACAGCAACAACAACAACAGACTGGGATAGCTCCTACTTCAGGGTACCAAGTTCGGTGCTCTTATAACATCTTGTCACCTTTAACTATTGCACTCATACCAGGGAACCACACAATTTACTTGGACGAAAAGCCATTTAAGCAAGCATTTTCTTTCTTTCATCCCCATCCCATCAACTATGGTTTAATAGTCTTTCCAGAGTATTGTGATCTAATTCCAGTAAGCATTCTCAGTTTCTGCTACTCCCTTCTACTAAACTGTTTTCTCTTCATCCATAGCTTGCTTACTGCCTTTGGGGGTCTGGTGATAGTCAATCAGGAAGAAATTCAAGGTAATCAGTATCTCAGAGGGAAGGGCTAAATATTTCGTGTTATTCCAATATCTCTAGATTATAAATGTCTGTCTTTGTTTCTGTGTGTCCATATTTGTGGAGCATGCACACATGTAGAATCAGTTGTGGAGTAGCCCTTGTACAGGTGTACTGGCAAATATAAAAGACATGCTCACACAATATGACATTGTAAATAAACATAGATGTTTTCTTCATGGCAACAAGCAGAAGAAGAAAAAACTGTCCCCTTATCACTCTCGCCACAGTTCTTGGTCCTCATCTGAACTTGAGCTGATGATATTTATGTATGGCTGCTAAATGTCTAGCACATTTCATTTGAGAAGTGGCTCCTTTTAGATCCAGCTGAAGTCTTTTCCAGTTTTACACATGCAACCTCCTAGGGTATCTTATCCACAATGCCTTGTTCTGACTCCTAGGAGCAAGTCATTTGAGTTCTGGCCTCCTATAAAGAGCTGCACATCAGCCATTTTATTGAGAGCAGTAATGGAGGCACCATTCCCTACCTCTTGCACGCCACTACCTACAGAGGCTGCGTGACTATGCCTCATAAGGGGCCTGGCCTTGAATGGAAGACAGCCAGAGTAGAGGAGTGTAATGAGTTGTGTTTTGGTGGGCCAGAAAGGATGTGCACTTTTAGATAGGAATGCGCACGCAGAGAAAAACCAATAATTGTTATTTGGGTATGAGAATACTGTCTCAAAGCATGGAAAAGTTACTTTCTGGATTACATAATATAGGACACACACACAGAGAGAGTGTGTTGTTGTGCCACCTTCTACACTGACAGATTTATTTCAGTGTGAGTTTTCAGAGATCAAGCTCCTCAGACACATGGTGCCTAAGAGTTGGGCAGTTCCTCAAGACACATGGACTATTGTTCTGATCTGGCAAGGATATCCTTACATTCCCATGTTCAAACCAGGGCTTGCTATTTTGTTTTGGTTTTTCTGCATCAGTTGGAAGCCATCACCTTTCCTTTGGCAGGTATCATGATCATCGAATACATGCATGATCATCCGTGTGTGCTACAGTAACTCAGCTTCCAGCTCAGCTTTCCATTTCAGACTCCTCTTTATCCCAGAATTAAGTTGCTTTCCCTCGAACAAATGCTCTTCATGCTTGTGGCCTGGAACTGACCTGGAGAGCACCCAGCACCTGAGGCTGGCATTTCGAGTCTGGATTAGACCCAAGGAATTTCTGAGGAGCTCTGCAATTAAAAACGCTGCTGTAAAATTATCAGCCCAGGGATTGCTGGTGACTAGATGGCATGCTAGATGCAGTTAACACCGTATTCTTTAAACAGCTATATAGCCCTCATGGAACATCTCACTGATTTAAGCCCTAAAACTGATACATTTGGAAAGTGTGTCCTTTATAATACAAGCTTGGCCAACCTCAATCAGTTATGTGGCCTTTGGAGAGAAGTAGGGCGTTCAAGGAAATTATTACCCTTTAATTGAATGATTAGTTTATACTATCTAAAAGAGAGGTCATTTTCTATAAATCAGAAGGAGATCTTCAAAGTAACCAGGCCTATCATGTATATATGTGTATTCTTCATAATTCTACAGCGTGTGGAACTTAGAACCTACAATGGAAATTCAGTCTTCTAGAATCTTGTGTTTTGCTTTGTTTTTTCTTTCTGCTTTTTAAAAAGAGTTTCTGAGCTTGGCTTATAGGCTTCAGGGTCTCCAAGAAACGTTTCAAAAAGGTTAAGTAATGGAGCAAAATCAGATGCCTCATGGGGGCTCAGTGTTTGGTGTTCTATATATGTATTTTCTTTTTAAGGAAGGAAATCAACCCTAAGTGCTCACTGGAAGGACACATCCTGAAGCTGAGGCTCCAATACTTTGGCCATCTCATGAGAAGAGAAGACTCCTTGGAAAAGACCCTGATGTTGGGAAAGAGTGAAGGCAAGAGGAGAAGGGGACGACAGAGGATGATATGGTTGGACAGTGTCACTGAAGCAAACAACATGAATTTGACCCAACTCTGGGAGGCAGTGGAAGATAGGAGGGCCTGGCGTGCTCTGGTCCATGGGGTCACAAAGAGTCAGACACGACTTAAGGACTAAACAACAACAAAAAAGATTACTTAAAGTTATAATCTTTGATTTTTAACTTTATAATGATGTGTTTTAGAGATATATTAGCTGCCTTTTGCTTTTTAAATATGCCTTATTAAGCTATAACTTCCTGAATTTTTAGAATGTATTGATATTAGAGTTCTTATTGATTTTTTTTTCTGTTCTTGATATATTCTTGGCTTAAGTATGTCTACAACCTAAGTTTAGTTTTCATATTTTTAAGCACTTGTGCCTACAGTTTCCCATAGCTGTAAGGCTTTTAAATGTTCTCAACTCTTGGAACTTTATTTGTGTGGTTGTGGAACATAGAAATAATGTAGATAAATAGTGCTTGTAGAATTAAACATGCTGATGTTGTCTGGAATTATTGCAACAATGAATTGATTTATATTTAGATAGATGAATTTTGATAAAATTGAAAATGACTGGTTTCATTTTGGAATTAACCTTTTTTTTGGGGGGGGGGAATACCAGCTCTGATGTACGTATGTTTTAGGATAAATGTAAAAAATTTCCATGTAGAAAAAAAATCACAAACTGATACAGAAATGGCAAAGAACAAATTTAAGATTGGGAAAAGTAGAAACTGAAAGGAGCAAAGGTTGATGGATTCATTCATCATTAATGAAAGATGCTGCCAGATAAAGTGATTTAGGATTCCATCTACATCTGTAGCAACAGTTCCTTTCTTCTACCTACTCCTTCGATGCCATCCTCTCTTCTTTCTTGCCTGGGGTTATTGTCTGGGTCCCCAGGAAAGGCCTTCAGTTGTGAACAAGTTACAACACTACACACAAAACTAACTGTGCAACCTAAATCAATTGAAGAAAATGTCCAGAGCTTGTTCCGAGTGAATTTTAATTTTCTTCGTTCTAAGAACATGGAGTCTTGCCCAAGACTTCCAGTGCTGTGGGCCTCAAAGGAAACCATGAAAGAAACACCCAAGGCTATGGAATATTGTACTTTTGTGGGTGTGGTGGACATTTCCGCCCTGAATCAACAACTTGCAGGAGAGACATTAAAGCTCTTGTGCTGCTCACTCAGTGAGCATAAAATCAAGTCAAAGCCCTGTCTTGTTTTACAGCAGGCTCTTTAGCAATTGCTGAGCCATTGAGTCCTCAGCATAAACTTCTCCATCAACATCATATTGAATGCCTTCATGCCAAATACAGTACCAGCAGTGACAAATTTATTTATTTTATTTTTTATTTATTTAAAATAGGACATGTTGGTTTTCACCTGGGTTAATATACAGATGTAGAAGAAGGGAGGTCACATCCAACTTATGGCAACCCTATGAATGAGCAGTCTCCAAAATGCCTTGTCCTCAACAGCTGTCTTGCAAACTCAAGACTGTGGCTTCCTTTAGAGAGTCTAGGGGGATGCCTCTAAACCTAGCAAGGTGGCTCCAGTTGCTTCAGAGCAGGAATGACTCCCCTACGAGAAAAAGGGCAGGCTTCTGTGACTAGACAGACAATTTGTCCCAGGCTGGATCAGGCTAAACAGGATCACACTGGGGTGCAATATGCCATTTGGGGAGATCCTTTTGTCCACACTGAGTGGTTTGGGGGCAGAAAGGCACATCATACTTCATGTTATCCTGTTAAGCCCATTCGTCTCCTTAAAAGGGAAATGGGGGGATCTCCTTCCATGTGCCCCCCATCTCCCCCTTTGGGGGGACTGGGGAAAGCTCTTTTTTTTTTAAAGGAAGTGGCATGCTGCTGAATTGGCCAAAGGGAGCAAAAATGAAAGAAAAAAGAAAGGCTAGCCCTTCACATCTTCTTCAATGGGAGAAAGCTGGATTTCAAAAAAATTGACATGTATTAATAAATGGCCTGCATAGTTGGCATCCCCACTATGGGAGATCTGCTTTGGTTTGATACCCACAACTACGCATAAGAATACCATAATAATAACCTTAAAACTGCAGAACTGGATGGGACTCTGTGGACCATCAAGTCCAGCCCCATCAAGGAGGCAGAGTGGGGAATTGAACTCCCAGTCTCTGGCTTCACAGCCACTGAGCTATC